AGAGGGTGGTAATATTACTAGTTCGCCAGTAGGTATCTTGCTGCGTATTTCCGTTATGGCATTCTTCGCGCTTTGCACATCCCTGCAGGCCATGACGACCGTGGCTTTCCGCTTGGCCAGCTCCTTCGCCGTCTCCTTGCCGATGCCGGAGTTGGCGCCGGTCACGAGGAACACCCGGCCCTGCAGATTGCCGGTGCTCCTGCACCTTCCCCAGGTGCGCTCTCGACATTTGCGTAGCAGGCCGATGAGCAGGACCACCGGGAGTATGAAGTAACACCACGAAGATACCATGTTGACGGTGGCAGGGCGCTTTCAACCTCGCCTCGACATGAGACTATTCCGGGCGCGGTGACTCGCGATGACTGGCCTCAACTCGAACGCGAGGCGAACGCTAATGCATATATTGCATATTAAACGTGGCACAATGCGCGCCGTTTCTCATCAGACCTTTGTTCCAGTCGAGTGGGAGCTTCACTCTAATTTGTCGTGCAAAACATCGTGACTGCAAGTGCAACCGGAATGCGTTGCGCGTGATGCGCCGCGAGACTAGGCGCAAAAAACATTGGTACAAAGGCGAACCTTATTCTTATCTCGACCAGCACTCCAAGCGATCCCGCATCTCGAGGCAATCTCGCGCGAGAATAATCTGGTCTGGAGCAGTATACAAACACACAAAACAAACTGCGAAGTGCGAACTCCGGAGCTTTATTTACAATCGCAGCGCGCAGGCGCTACGATCCACAATGCAAATGCTCCATAGATATGGATCAGTGAAATGCTCCCCCGTAATCTTCGCGAGCCCTCGCGCCCCTCGCCCTTGCCCTTCGCCCCACGAGTCGGAATTTTTTCGGGAATTCTTGGAATTCATTCACCTACAGCTAACATGCAGCCACATTTTCACCTTGTTATATCTCATCTCGATACTTTAACAATTTTTGGGAGTTTAGGTACTTGCAATTTGCAATCTCCAGCTTATACTTACCGACATTCGGGAATTTCTAATGCTGATAAAGTTGTAATGTCGATATCGGTAGGAGTGGAAGGGAGAAAAGCTAAGTTGCCCTAGGTCAAGTTATAGGGTAGCTAAGTGGTACTGTAGACTGAGTTAAATTAAATTAATTACGCGGCGTGTAAACGAAGCGGAAGTTCCTCTGTAACTCGTTAGGGATGAGGGATGCAATAAAAATCATATATGCGTATTAATATCACCAAATTGAAGACGACGGTCAACCCTAAGTAAATTTTCATTATAATTATAATGTAGGAAGTAGGATTAGTGTATCTGAGAATAATTAAAGAATTATACTGTTTCGACCATCGATGCTGATTCACATCTTTGTTATTACGTAACGAAAATATCTTTTTGTCTTACTCGTTTTAGGAACGGTTATCACGATGCAAAAATTCCAAGTCAGCAAATATTCATTTTAAGAAACGTCGTTATCCCCGACATATTCTTGAAATTTTCGAAGCGCAAGTAAAATTATTGATTGGAAAAAAATGTTTCTTATATAAATAATTATGGCTATATATCCATGATGATATATGTGTATTATCAGAAAACTTTTTTTAGTTATAAAATAAAATTTTATATTTCAAAACGTGCTAAATGTGTGTAATAACAACATAGTGTAAGTTTAAGTACGAACTTGGTTTATTCAGTATATTGTATGTAATTAAATATCGATAAAAAATATAAATTTCGCAATTGTCGTTCTGCGACATTCGACCGTATATGTCCACATACATTCTTCATCTATTTTTCATCATACTTCCCTGTCAATTTTATGAAATATAAAAATGGAATTGCAAAAATTAATAAAATTGAATTGTTGCTGTCATGTTCCAATTGAAAACTTGTACAGATCTATGGACTAGTTGACACACGCACATTACATATTCCAATAAATTAATTTTAGATTATGCTGCAATCACTTAAAGCATGTTAAGGCACACGATACCATATTCTTCCACATATCCATACCAATCAACATAATTATTACAGACAGAATATTTATATGTATATGTATATATTGTTATTTATAAAGATAGTTTTTTTTCGTTGCTTTTAAATTTATACAGCAGAGATTCATATAAGCGCTTTAAATAAACTGGTTCGAAGAAATAAAAGTTAATAAAAATAATAAGCTTGGCGTACATATTATATATGCTATATCGCAAGTTAAAAAGTAGATTCTCTCTTACGGTTCTCTATAAAAAAATATTTCTCATTCATATTTTACGGCCGTTTATCATCACAATCTGATACATCGGTATCAGAAACATTCCCGAGTTCAAGATAAAATTGAATCATGGCGAATGTAAATTTATATTTCATTACGAATAGAGTGTTTTTTCTATCCATTCTTCCAGTGTGAACGTAGCTGTTTGGGTTTGATCCGGATCTCTTTCTCTAAAAATATCTGCAACAACGTAACAAGTGATTTTATCTTACACTTATCACTATTAATAATTATATATATAATTACTGACATTAATATATCAATAAACTATAATAACGTATTAAAAAATAATATCTATTTAATAATTGATATATTATTAATGTATGAAGATTAATTATTAAATACAAGTTTCGCTTACCAATCATTGTTTTGAGCCTGACCGCGCACATTATGTAATCGTCGAAAGTAATCTTGCCGTCTTTAGTACCATAACGATGAACCAATATATTAAGAACGTGATTGTTCAAACGGTATCCCGCGCTATTTAACGCTTGTCTCAATTCAAATGCACTTAGAAATCCTGATTCATCTCTGTCATAGAGCTTATAAACAGCCTGAAATATTTATCATTTACAAACGTTACAAAGATCCGCAAACATTTTGCGAGAGTTGCAAATTGAATCGAAAGATTTCACACTTACCCTCCACTTTCTAATGTCATTCCACAAGGTCTTAAATTCTTCAAAACCAAGTTTGCCAGAGTGATCTGCATCCAACATAGCAACCATACTGCGACATATATCTTTGCTGAAACCTCTGTCCTGAGTCTCTGCAATTTAAGAGAGAGAAATCCATTTTGCCTGTTGTAATATTCACGTAAGAGAAAATTTCTAGCATTCAAATTCAAAAACATAAAATTCAAATACGGAAAATTCGCATAAAATTAAGATGAAAAATGTAAAAAGATATTGTCCTACAGTTTGTCGAATGTTTTGGAACAGAAATGAGAGAGATCCGACGAATGTGATACATCACAGACTTTACACGTGTGCCGACAGATTTAAGCAATTCGTTAATGTTTTCATTCTCTGTTAATTGGAAAAGCATGCGGTAGGTATTTTTCATCGAAAGATCCTACCTTGTGGAGACACAAGTTAGAGCGTCAAGCTGCTAAACGTCGACATTGACACTTAGTTCACCATACGAGTGCCGATGAAAGCGTATTTCGTGTGTTAACAAATAGGGATAAATAATCGAACGAGTGTTCTGTGACATAATCGTCACGACGTAACGCGACGACGTAAAACAATCCTGTGGTAGGAGATGTTGTTTGTCTTACCTACGCCCTTATTGTACTGTTCATTATTACAAACAATGCCGCACAGCAGTGAGATGAGAGTGTCGACAAACGAACCATTTCCTTCGACAGTTTCGGGAGCATGTGCCTCGCTACGATGCGCCGACTGCGGTAACTCTACCCGTAACACACAGCTACATGTTAGGTTCGAGTTTTACATACGTACACTTGGGCCATAAGAATCCGTAACGTTCATTACGTTACAACTTAAATTACAATTTACATTTCTCTAACTTTTATGTAGACTCTAATGAACAGTTTTTTTTTTAAGAATTAAAAGAACTACCGCATGCCTACCGCATGCTTTTCCAACACACTTTTAACAGAAGTTTGTGAACCATCTATATATACTCCTTTATGCTTTTTTATTAAAAGATTACATTATTGAAACTGTTTTTAATTTCTTACATATTTTTTAATCGATCTAATTAAATCAA